CGCATGATCGGTGCCTCGTTGGCGGCCAATCGCTCCGCCCACCTGGCTTGAAATGGGCTCTGCCGATGGTGCGAATGGGCGCCCGTGAGGCGCGATGTGAGGGGAGGGTTTGTGCCTCATAGGCGGCCATTTGTGCCACCCACAGTTGCCAAGAATTGGCGACGTCGATGGCGCATATGGGCACACCGCGAGGCGGGAGATGCGCCAGACGATCAGTGCATCCCTGGCGCCCAATCACCCTGCCCACTCTGCCTTGAGACGCCCGCTGCTTGTGGCATGATTGGGCGCTCGTGGGCCACGAGAAGCGCCGGGGGATTGGCGCATTGCGGGCGCCCATTCCCACTACTGGCTTTGGCCTGCAATGGCTTTTTCCGGTGGGAGGATTGGGCACAAGTGAGGCGTCAGGGAGGCCGATTGGTTCAATTTGGCGGGGGTGCATTCCCGCCCCCCCGCAGTTGCCTGAAACAGCCCCTGCCAATGCCGGGAACGGCCGCCCACAAGGTGGCAGGGCGCACCCTAATTACCCATCGCGGCCGCCCATTCCCCCTGCCCTCGGTGGCTTAGAACGGCCTGCGCCAGTGGCGTAAGTGGGCGCCCATAGGGCCCTACGGGTGTCACCGGATTGGCGCCTCATGGGCACCCATTCTTGCCTTCCGCGGTGGTCAGGAACTGCCTTTGCGGGTGGTGGGAATGGGTGCCCACGGGCACGAGAGGTGGCGAGTGATGCGTGGGAATGAATGCCCGCGACCCGCGAGCTGCGTGTCACTGGCGCCCACCCTCGCCGTGTGTGCTGGTTTGAAACGGTTCCCCCGGGTGGCGTGAATGGGAACCCGAGTGGCAGGAGCTGGGCACCATCCATGACCTGCACCTCCTCGGTGCCCATTCACGCCACCCGTGCCACCTTGTAATGGGCCCCAAGGGTTGGCGGGAACAGGCGCCCGGGAACCACATGCATGTGCCATGACTCGCTCATCCGGGGTGCCAATTTCCACATTCTGTGCCATATTGGAAGGGCACTTAGCGGTGGCAGAAATGCGCGGCCGCGACACGCGCGTTGTGCTCCCGGATTCGAGTTTTCCGGGCACCCATTCCTGCCGCCCTTGCGCTATTGCAGTCCCAGCAGCTCCCCTCCTTGTGCTGCGCTGTGCTGCCTTGTGCGTCCACTCCGCTCCCATTCCTATCGGCTCCGTCATTGGGGTTTGTCATAGACGGGGGCCAATCTCATTTGCGCTCGGTGCATTCGCGACCTGTGCTCGCTTGGCTTGCGCGTTGCTGCCCACTTTGCTACCAACGCCTCCAAACCTTGCAGCGTGCCAATGGCAAAAAACGCCATTCGCCCGTGTTGAAAATTTACCCTTCGTCCGAGGGGCGCGTAGCCGGCGTCGCGAGGCTTGCCACTGCACGAAAAGGCCGTGTTTGAATGCCAGAGTGGCAGTGGGCCTGTTGATGTGTCGAGGGTTGTCGCTGTGCTTTGGGCTGTACTGTGGGCAGGCCTGACTTGACTGACGGCGGATTATTTTAAACACCGCAGGGTTAATATCCATACTGGCTGCACTCTAGTAGAATTTCTGCAGCGTTTCCCCCAGGTTTTTGTCTTTTCATCACCAGGCCTATCCCATATATCTATAATGCTGCTTCAAGACCACTTTTACATGAACCTTGAGGCTGAAAAGTGCCTCCTCAAGGTTCGAGCAGCATTTCTGTGTGGCCTTTGAGTGTTTTTCACTATTTTTAGTTTCACTCTTTCCCTTTCGATGCCCCAAAACGGGCTGGCCATGCTTGCTTACTGCTAACCAATATTGCGCATTTACTTCAGCGTGCTTTTCGCTTTTCTGCATTTCTAGGCCGCTGTCCATGTCCAGCTGACTAGTCTACAGTGTAGCGACACCCAGTCAGTTGCCTTTTGTTGGTCATGAGCCCGTCATTGGGTGACGTGGCCCAATGACAGACGGTGAATTTAACAACTGTTGTTTCATCATCATTATGTTTTACAAGGCAATGAGGTAGCCATCAGCTTCCTATTTTGCCCGAGAAAAGCAATGTTTATGATCAGTTCATGAAAAACTAATGTAAAAAACATAAACAAAGTCTAGGAATCTATGAAGTCCTAATGCCAAGAAGCGTTTGCCGATGATAGCACATCAAAAGAAGTGTCTTTGCTGCCAGTTGGCGATCGGGAACTGAAGCAAATAGTGCTTTGGCATTGCGGTATCGAAAAAAGGTTGCGTGGCTTCGACGAATGTCGTCATGGGCGCGGGAGTGGAAGAGAAAACTGTTGTTTCACACGTCTGTGCATGCATTATTGAGATTTTCATCAAGAACGAATGCCAAAATGGGCCGCGGCTGCTGGTTCGTGCACGTGTCCCCGTTGTTGCTCCCGGGCAGTGGTGGAGTGGACGGACGGCGCCCAGCCCGATCCGGAGGGACAGCTCGGGGCGCCCGGCGGCAGGCCCGGCTCCTGCCCTCGTCAGATCGGAGGTCGGCCCCGAGGGCCGCTCTAAGACGCCGCCATTGCCTTGCAGACATCTGCAGCGACGGCGGCCCATGCCCTCTCGACGGGCTAGGGCCCGTTGTCTTTGGCCTGCGGCCGTATTGATCATCGTTGCCTGTTCCTCTGCCGTCATCGGGGCGGTATCTGCCGTAGATGGATCAGGGGATGGGCTGGATGCTTCGGACGGCGCTGGTGTCGTGGAGCTTGGGCAGGAGAACTACACGGAGGCGTTGACGAAATTGGAGCCGGGCGGGCACGTTTTGATGGAGTTCTATGCCAACTGGTGCCCCCACTGTAGGCATTTCAAGCCCACCTACGAAAACATCGGTAGATTTTTCATGTCAGAGCCGCGGGTGCTGCCCGAGGTGTTCGTGGCGCGGGTGGACTGCGCCCTGAAGCCCAACGCCGACATATGCACCCACTTTGACGTCAAGTACTACCCCACAGTGAAGTTCGGCGCGGCCGGGGACTTCGCCGCGGAGAAGGGAGACCTCGTACAGGATGTGAGGGAGCGGGACGAGGAAGGGATCGTGGACTCCGTGGGCACCAAACTCAATGCCACTTACCAGTATGTGTTGACGCGCCCGCTGATGCCGCCCAAGATTGGTGGTCCTATCTATCAGACCCTCCCCCGCGCCGAGGCCAACGGCGAGGTGGACATCAATGACGTGGAACGAGCCACGGCGGAGGTGATGGACAGCGTGCTGTTGTCCGATCTGCTGGCTACCTCGGAGCACAAGAGCGCTTTGGTGGCGTGGCTGACGCTGCTGGCATCCTCCCACCCCTCAGCCAGGTGCCTCGCCGGCGCCCAGGAGCTGCTATCCAGCCTGGACAGCGTGTGGCCCGACGGCGCCGATCTTCCCAGCCCCCAGCTCAAGACCTTCCATATCTGCGGCAAAAATTTCGAGGCCCAGCCTTGGGGCAGCTGCAGCGGGTCGCGGGCGGACACGCGGGGCCTCACCTGCGGCATCTGGCTACTGCTGCACTCCCTGGCCAACCGAGTGACGGTGGACTACGGGGGCGTGATGTGGATGAAGGGGGTTTCTGCCTTTGTCAAGCACTTTTTCCAGTGCAAGCACTGTGCACAACACTTTTCCCAGATCCTTGCCAGCCCAGGGGCTCAGCGCGTGGTCACCAGGAGCGACGTGATCATTTGGCTTTGGGAGACGCACAACAAGGTCAATGCCAGGCTTGCAGGTGAAGAGGAGGTGGAGGGAACAAAGGACCTCATGTACCCAAAGTCACAGTGGCCCCTGAGGGACATGTGCAGCTCCTGTGTGCGCGAAGCCCCAGACAACAGGGATGGGGAACCTGCATGGAACAGGCAGGCGGTGCAGGCATACTTGCAAAGATTCTATGGTGATGGCTTGGTTACTGAAAAGCACGCAGTTGTCGATGAGAGAACCCAACCCCAGGCCATCGTGAGCAGTCCCCCCAAGTTCGTGCGCCCTGGTTTGGTGAGCCCACCTCAGGAGGTGGATGTGGCCAGCCCCATGCCTGGTGGGTACGAGCCCTTTGCCCTTCTGTTGATAGTGGTCGCTGTGGTGTTTGCGGCTCGCAGCTATAAGAAGAAATCGAAGGGGGACATGCATTTCTTATGATGGCGCGGCCCATGGGGTGGATCATTTGATCCCCTCCGTGGGCAAATGGAATGGGATGCTGATGTGGCCTCAAAGATGGTCTAGCTAACCGGGAGGGGCTGATGTCTCAAGGTAGCTCGACTTGGAGTGCATCTTCCAAGTGCAGATAGGCCAGCAGCCTGGCCTCCCTCTGTGGCCAGAGAAGTTTCAGGTGGATCTGGCAAAGCAGTTCGTGAATCAACTGGGAAGATTGGTGATGGTTGGAAAGAGGATGGTGCATGGAATGTTTATGCTGTGTTTGGAATGGTCAGCATGCATGTAGTGGGGACAATGGGCAGCATGATACAGATCGAGAGGTGTGGATTGTGTTAGTTGATGGTTCGGTTGGACCGGAGTGGGGCGTTAGTGGCTGGCCATGTCAGCCAATGCCTATACATGGCAGTCCGCAAGGGCCTGTTCGGGTACCCCAGCAATGATAGTCACCACGGCGATGGGGGGACTGCACGGAAACAGATTTCGACTGTGCCAGGTGCGTGCATGTCCTGAAACGTGTGCCTTGGGCGATACAGGGCACATACCTAAAGGATACTTAAGCTTACTTCAACAGTTGGTTGTTCCTTGGCTTCTATGATACGGGTGCCTTGTGCCAATGGTTTCTTTCGGTTGTGGGTGTGCCACTGCTGTGCCCAAGGCCCACCCGAACATGCGAGCCAAAGTCTTATCTGCAGTTGCATATCTCCAGTGGTGTTTGCTGCAGCAACGCTGTCATGCAATATTGCTTTACACACATTGCATGCCACAAACAATATAGGGAACACAAACCCAATAAACTCCTGACTAAGGGATGTCAAAATCCAGTGAAGTCATAAGAATTCAAAATTTCGGCACCATTCTGCCAAGAAACAATCAAATGTATCCCCAATGAGGCCCTAGCTTTCATCAAGAGCAGCTACGCCAGGGAGCACCTTGCCCTCCAGCAGCTCCAACGAAGCGCCACCACCTGCAGTGAGTGTAGTGCACGCTTATTTCCACAGCTCGTGCAATTGCCAATAGCCATTAATCGGACAACAGAGGATTCTGCAGTCAGAGCCTTGCCAAAACCCAGTGGTAAATGCATTTACATAAGGGAATGCCAATGTGCCACCAGTATCAACGTGCATGACAAAGCGAAAGGCACATAAGGACTGATTATTGGGCTCAGCACAGAGAAGCATGATATCCAAAGGAAACAGCTGCACCAGCAATTTGACAACGATGCACAGTCGATTGCCTGATCTGGTGCGTCTCGTGTGGCCTACTGCCACTCCATCCCACCACAGTGCACGACTTGCAGGTCGTCAACGAATCGATCACCACTACTCAACAAAGTCGTGCATCAGGCACAATTGGTTACAGGCAATCGAAACACAACCCAGGGAAGATCAGTGCAAGTACCTGTGGAGATGTGGCTCATCTTGGTTCCCAGGCCAGCCTGCTCAACGGCTGCGACGGAGTCGCCCCCGCCGATGATGGTCGTGCAGCCCCCAGCAGTCAGCTCTGCCAAGTACTCAGCAACAGCCTGGGCAGGACCAAAATTGACACAACAGCGTCCACACAAACAAATTAGACCACCCACACATGTAATCAACATCAAACATTGGTATATTCACCACGTGGGTGAGGATTTGGAAAACGCAGAGTCATTTTCCAGAACAGCTCTGCATATCGTTCTGACAGTACCTTGCATGAGCATGGGGAGCAAATAAAAATGTATCGACTGGAACAGACCCCACATCGTGGATTGATCTGCATAGAGATACAGGAATTTGGCGCAATGGCCAGAGCATTCTGTCGAAACTATTACAAGCACAAGGAAAGTCCCCAGCTCACCGTCGTGCCCTTGGCAAACTTCTCGAATTCAAAGACTCCCATGGGTCCATTCCATACAACAGTCTTGCAATCGGAAAGAGCCTTTTTGATCAAGTCAATTGATTCTGTTCCGACATCCAAGCCCTGCACCACAAACACTCCAGAGTGCTAAGCCCAGCAACAAATTCAAGGAAATGCTGAATAGCAGGTTAGTGGCAACACCATGACACTCACTATACCTATACACCTGTGCTCAGCCCACCTGATAACTGCCCAATCGGCAGCCCACGCCTGCCATGTCTGAAATTTAGGAAGCATTTCTTGCAGATTCCGCAAAGCAAATATTTCATAACAGCAGAAGCCAGGCAACATACAATTGTAATGTCCACTTGGCTCACTGGAAATCGTGCACTATAGGCGTTGGGGCTAAATTACGTACAAGCGCATAATGCCTTGGATCTTGAAGCCCTTGGGAGTGGAAATGTGCACCAAAAAAAACTGGTGGACCTGTTGAAAATTAGTAGCAGCCAGTGCACTCCATTGTGTGTTGCATGGGACAAATACTTTCATGGCATATGATTTTCGAAAATTTTGGGAAAAAAGGTCCCACAACAGCACGAGAACATCGTCTTCCACTTGATAGAGACAAATGTAATTGCCTGGTGGCAATGACCAAAGTATGGGTAGCCAAAAACAGCAATAAAGCTGCGGGTGCATATCAGCCAACTCAAACACAGATGAACAACACAATTTTGGCATTGGGAGAGGTTACAAGAACGAGTGGTTTTTGTGAAAAAGCGCACCATCCAGCCATCGGGAATAGCATCGGCTTGCACATTTTGTGAGTCAGCATCTGCAGCAAACTTGTTCGCAATGCAAACATCGGTGGGAAGAATGAATTCCACTCCAGCGTCTGCTGCCTTCTTCTCAAGATCCCTAGCAAGGTCCAGCTTGTCCTCCTCAACCAAAGAGTCTCCAACACTCATGCCCCGAGCCTTGTAGAATGTAAAGACCATTCCTCCCCTGCAAAAGCAATGGTCACATTGGTTCCCAGCAGTGTTCATGTCAAAATGTGGCCCACCAGCCATCAAAATAGCTGAGATGTTGGGCCCGATATACAAGCACGAAACACGGAGCAATCCTACAACATAAGAACTATGCACCCTATAACATATCAGGATGCCTGCGGTGCAGAAGGACAATAATATCCAGCAGACCACAACACTACAGGAATGGCAACTTTTTCTCTGCTGAAGTATGTAGAAGATGGAATCAATTAACTGGAAATCTTCCAGCCAAGAAGCTTCTGGCACACACTAGAATGCCACAGTGAAGCCCCATTCTCACCCAAGGATGATCTTGTCCACCTTTGACAAGAGGGACTCGATGACAGTGATCTTTGTTGACACCTTGGATCCCCCAACAATTGCACAGAAGGGCCTGTTGGGATTGGAAACTGCGCCATCAAGGTAGTCCAGCTCCTTCTGGAGCAGAAATCCCGCCACACAGGGTGAAAGGTACTTGGTCACTCCTTCGGTGGAGGAATGGGCACGATGGGCAGTTCCAAAGGCATCATTCACATACAGATCGGCATTGGCGGCAAGCTGCGTGAAACACAGTCGAGAGATTAGCAATCACTCATGTCCCATGCGGGTGTGAGCGGGAGAAATGGCTGTCACAAAAGAGAGTTCAATCCCTGGACAATAGTGACAAACTCGATAACTCACAAGATTGCTTTCAAGCCAGACACCAGCGACACCAGTTTCTTGTGTATATGCCCAAGAGCAAAGTTCACCTTTTCTGAGAAGCTTGGGTCGTTCTTTGTTTCCTCCTTATAGAAACGCACATTGTCCAACAGTAGCACCTACATCAACAGCAAGGACACGAAACTGACAATCAACAAAACGCATGGGAACAATTGGGCAGAAAACGTCAACAAACATTGCTGTCTGAAGAAGGCACACAAGTCAACAACGACTCACAACCATCGACAAAAAATTTGCATGTCGCCAAATAAACTGTTATACAATCTAGAACCGCTACCCAGCAAATAAATCGATGACAAGCTCACATGTGCAGAGCCGGGTACCACTCTGCTTAAAGACAATGATGAGACCAAAAACTAGTGTCAGAAAACTTCCTTCCATCTGAATGGTCAATGCACTGAACTCACGCTGCCATCAGCCATTGCTGCTGCTGCCTGCTCCACTGTACTGCCAATGCAGTCATCGACCTTTGTCACTGACAATCCAAGCAGCTCAGACAGCCGGGGAACAACGGGGTTCAGACGGAACTTGTCCTCAGGACCTTCCTTTGGCCGTCCCTGCAGTCAATGAGGATAACATCACATCAAATCCATTTTCACCACAACGCCAGTATGTGTGGGTAACGGGCAAACTTGATCATGCATTTCTGTACAGAGTGCCATGCATATGGCAGAACAAACTGACACACTCATAGTAGCAATGTTGAACACAACAGGCACCATCGCCTAGACTGCTCCCAGCTGCTTCCATCTCTTGACCCTAAACGACTAAAATCCACTGCGACTGGTAAGGACGTTGTCAAAAGCGTAACAGTTCTTTACGTTGTCAACCAGGACTTCGGGCATGGAACTGCCACACCACTTGTAGAACATGAAAAGTCAAAAGAGAACTGTAGAACGTGAAACCGACAACTAGATCATGCCTTTAGACCTTCGTTCCAAGCCCGCACTCGCGCCCATTCATCAAACCGACTGTCACAATGCGTCATAGCTCGACGGCAATCACTCTAGAGACATGTGCACAAATGCAAAGAAACCGCCCATTCCCGGTTGGACGCAGTCCTAAAATCCACGCACCCAGGATCAGACAATGATGGCGTCACCGATCGCAATACAGGTCGTCCATTTCGGCAAACGCGCAGGCCCAATGCCGATCATCACCGTCCCAATCGGTGTCACTGTCATTGACCACATACCAAGTGCGACGTGAGCAGAACCTTGGCGCCGTTGTCCGTGAGGTACTTCAGCGTGGGCACCGCCGCGCGGACGCGCGTGTCGTCCGTGATGTTCAGGTCGGCATCCAGCGGCACATTGAGGTCCGCCCGCACCAACACCTTCTTCCCCTTGAGTTCCACCTCGCCAAGGTCGCCCACAGATCTCTTGGCGGCCAGAACCACCAGCCGCAGCCCACGGCCGCGCGCGCAGCCCGCCGGCAGACCGCAGGTAAGGTTCCTGGCGATGAAAACATTGCGCAGGGATGGCGGGGCCAGGGCGGCGCTGTTGATGGCCATTCGGGGGGCCCGCAGGCGCTGGTGGCTCTGGCGGCACTCGGCGCGGGCCATGGGCACGATGGCCGTCGACAGGAGCGCTGCGGGCGCCATGGCGAGCGGGGCAGGCGGAGGGCAGGCGGCGGCGAGGAGCGCGGGCGTGGGGCGACGGCTGGGCGGTGTGGCGGGGCTTTTTGTTCCGGGCGAGCAGTTCGGGCACGTGCAAAGGCAGGGCGGGCGCCACGTGCCAGGAGGTCAGCAACTGGATGGGCACCAGTTTTGATCCTGTCGGCGTTCCCGCTCTCTTGGCCCCTCCCCCGCGTGCCGAAATTTCTCAAGTACTACGCCCCTACTGCCGTGCAGACGGACACCCGGCCCGTGGTTAGTGTTCAAGTCCCATCCGGAAATCACGTCGAAGTGGGTGGGTTGGTGCCACATCATGGCGTAGTGCGGGCCCCAGCACAAGAATGCGGGCACGGGAGTCAGGGCAAGGCGCACGAAGTGGCGTACCGGCAGCCCACTTGCTGGTGGCTGCCTTTCAGGTGGCAGCGGGTACAGCTGGAGCAAAGACGACTCAGCACACTGCGGCGATTCCTGGTGTGCTGCATTTTCCATGCCTGCTTGGGGATCGCGACGCATGTGGCTCCTCGAGGCGGGGCTACTGCCCTGTTGCCTGCAAGCTCTGGGATAGGGTGAGTGGACTGGAGGGAGGAGGCGCTTGGCAGCGCCAGCGGTGGGAACGTCTAGCTGGCGAAGGAGAACGCGATGGAGGGTTTCAAGGGGGGCCTGGATGCCGGCCTGGGGTTGCTCATCAATTGCGGCACCGGCCGCGCGGTTCAACTCCTTGCCCACATACTGGCTGCGGCGTTTCGGAACGTGGTTCTGAACGTGAGGGCTCACGAGATTGAGCACCTAACCCAGCAGCTGAGGTCACAGAATTCTGGGCGACGGGAGGAGGCGGCGCGGTTGCTGGGGCTGTACGCCGCTGTCCGGCCTCTCTACCGCACCTGGATCTTCAGGGAGGGGGCGATCCCGCGCCTGGTGCCGCTGCTCAAGTCGCGCAACATGCGGGCGCGCCTTGCGGCCGCGGACGCCGTGCGGTACCTCGCTCTGGACAAGGACGTGAGGGACGAGGTGGTGAGGGCGGGGGCCGTTCCCAGGTTGACGCGCCTGCTGCGCAGGCGGTATGTGTATCGCTTGAGGATATCCGCGGTGCGCGCCCTGGGCACGCTGGCTGTGGGCAAAGAGAACGTGGCCGTAATCACGGGTGGGGCGTTCGTGTCTGAGGCGGTGCGAACGGCAAAGAGGCTGGGGAACGAAGTGGGAGGTACGTTGCCAGGGCGGCACCGCAACAAGGCAACCCTCCTGGCGGCAGTGCTTGACTTGCTGGCCAGGTTGTGCGAGGATACGGGCGCCACGCAAGAGTGCAGGGCTGATGGGGAACTGCTTGGGGTCCTTTGTAAGCTAATGCTCACAAATGAGACTGAGGTAGTCAATTCTTCTCTGGCGTTCACGCTCAAGTTACTCGATGATGGGCCAGACGCCCTGAAGACGGAGGTGGTGGCGGCTGGCCTGGTGTCCAAACTGTTGAAGACATGGCAGCATGCTTCAGGCCCTTCACAAACTGCCCTCCAGGTGCTGATTGCGGTGGCAGAGGTGCCAGCAAACCATGGGGCCCTGCGAGAGGGAGCAGAGAAGATGCGCTGGGTGTCCAGGCCATCCCTGCTGCAGCTCGAGGAGTGCTTGGATGTTCAGCGGGAGGGCTGCGAGATGAAGCAGACAGGGGTGCTGAGCTTCCTGGCATGCCTGTGCGCCAATGCCTCAGTCCTGACTATGCTTCGAAAGACAGCCATTGTCACGACCCTGACTGCCCGCCTCAATGAGCAGCCTAGGCCATGCCAGGCTGCCCTTTGTCAGGCATTGGCTGCCCTGTGTGCCAAGACTGAGTTCAGGAAGCATTTTGAGGATGATGGCACAGTGCCCCTGCTGGTAGAGATGCTGTTTTCTGAAGAGATGGAGGTTGTGGACTCTGCTGTGCAGGCATTGTGCAGATTTGCCTGTTCAGAGTCTTCGCAGATGCTCATAGCAACGCCAAAGAGCTTGGAAAGGCTGTTGGAGCTGCAAACTTCCGACAACACCAGTTTGGTATGTGGCACATTGGAGTTGCTGCGTCAGCTGTCTCAGAGACTGGCTGTGCAGGAGCTCCTTCGAGAGGTTGAGATTCCTGTGCGATAGGAGAGCATGCACAAATGTGATGCTGTCAACATAGAATTTGCAGCACTCCCATTGTGCAACAAATGTGGGGACGCTACTTTCTGGATCAGGAAATGCAAAATGTGTAGTTGCAATGTAGATGTTAGGGTGTCCCCGATTTGTCTGAAAACTGAGATTGGCGTACCATGTGTAGATGCATGGCACTTGCTTCAACTGTACTGTCCAGATGCCAGGCCCACATGGGCCATTCAGGCACACAGAGGACGACCTTGCATCGTCCGAGGAGAGTCTATTCTTAGCCTTGCACAGCGCTGTCATTTTGGTGCAGTCACTACGAGTTCGGCAACTCTGTAGAGGTTGGTTGTTGTGGCTTCTGGGCGCAGGTGTCTGGAAGCCTAATGTGCGACTGGATTGTTGGTTGGAAATCTGAATGCTTGCTAGTGTGTGTCAGTCGTTTGGCACACAAAGGCAAAAAACAATTTTGGCGATCTCTGCCGATGTGGTGCATGCGGCTGTGGCAAAGAACCGGTTTTGATTGTGGTGTATGGGTAGGGGAGGGTGACACACAAGTCACATTGCATGATATCTGGTTTGCTATCTTTGCAAGTAAGAAGTTGAACCTGACTTTATGAATGGAAAATCTTGACATGTGCTGCTGGATGTGTTCAAAGCGGCAGCTGGACAGAGATTTGTTGTTCACTTCGTCTCAACTTGGTAACCATCTGGTGTTGATGGGCACCTTTTCCTCATTGGGTGTAACGCCAATCCATCAGTACTTTAGGCAAAAACCATAAGTTGCATGGACAATATTGGATTTCAGCCACGATGGAAGTGGAGGCTCCTTCCGAAGGAAATCACGGGGCGGCTGATAGCGTCAAGGAAGAACTGGTCATCAACCAGGAGTCCTTGGGGTGCGGGTGGACGGGGTGGGGTGGGGGGTACACTCCCATAGTGATGATTCCCTTCATGGGAAATTTGTGCTGTCTTGTGATATATTCTTGCTGTGTGCTTCCTTTCTCCTGTGCCTAGTAGTACTTGGCCATGGTCGTTGTTGGACAATTTGCTGCCAACACAGCTTCACCAAGTTCTTTTTGTTTCTCCAATGCTGCAAGTCATGGTGCTGGTCTTCTCTCTGGGACATGGCCACCATCGTGATGAAGATGTTGGATGGTGGCACTATTCGGCAGCGGTGTTTCTGGGGGCTCAGGGGTACCTGAAAAGTATGTTCAAGACTGGGGACCAACAACCATTATTTGCAAGAAGACATTGACAAATGAAATTATGATATGAAGGATGGTAGCTATGACAGGTGCAACACTAAGGTCATTGGCTTCCTCACAAAGCAGCTGGCAAACACATCAGAAACAAAGCCCTCAAAGCAATAAACGATATGACATATCAAGGCAACTCCCCTGCAAGGAGATAATCAGGGACTCTCTTTTGGCCTAAGAAAAGCAATGTCAACGATCTATGCAATGAAAGCCCAAGGCATTGCAGCAATGGCACACTATTCGAGACAATCGCCCATTATAACAACGATTGCCCCCATTAAGACACAGACAGCCATTGCTGAGGGCAGCTGTGTGTGCACACCCAATAGCCAAGGTGTTGCAGCCTGCGGAAAATGAGGTTGACGGGCCACATTCAGACTCAGTATTTGATGCTATTTGTACGATATGCAGCAATGCGGTTGATGCTTGCTTCATAGCTGGGCAGCATTTGCCACAATCACATTGTGAGGAGCAGTCGTGTATGGACACTCGCCACAAATATATATCATATCTTTACCACTCATGAACACGAAATAGCCCTGCATTACCTCATTTCTGCATGATTATGATGGGTGCACATCCCAGAGTCATCGCATGCCAGCAGCGTTGGAAAGAGCTTGCCCAGTCTTGAAGGAAATGGCTATTGATGCGATTCAAACGGCCCCCTTTGGAGTGCACACGGGAAGCACGAATCCACGATCGCCGATGCTTACACGGCCAGACGCAAGGCCATACCACACACAACACGCCCAGGGCTTACATATTTGTTTACCCTTCCCACAGCAAAGCGCTTTGTTGACGGTGGCAATGGCCCCCGCAACCAAACAATTCAAATCTCTTTGCACCCATAAAACTTTTCTTTTCACATGACAGTGACTGTTGTGCCCCATTGAGCACGCCCTAGGTCGTGAGCACAGAGGCACGAGGCGGGTTCCCACAGAGACAATTACATGCAAGAGACAACGTACAATGGTACAACTGGTATAAAACGTTGTCCAATAGGTTGTCCAAATAATTGTAATACTTAACCATGAAGTGGTGGGCCCAAAACTTTTGTGGAAACACTTGGGGTAGGTGCAGTGGACCATTTAGTTCTCTCATTATCTTTAGGTAATGGTGTACAACTCCATATTTATAGTATAATGGTATAATTTACCTCTTGGCCTTTATTGTCTTAATATGCGGATGTATGGGTGATTTAAAGGTGCAAAACTTTCTGTACTGCAACTTGGATAATGGGGGCCGAGTAAGGGAAGTTTTGGAGTTGTTTTGTTGGTGACCGGAGGCCCATTTTGTATAACACATTGTCGTCATGTCTTAATGTACTACCACACTTGGAGGTGCGACGGTCAGACGGGTATTTGGATGTAGGGGGCGAATTGTCTGACTGTAATTGTTCTTGGCTCACTGTTGCGGCCCCGTCGGCAGCCGCTAGTTTCCTGAGGCGTTGGGGTCGCCCTGCCCTGCAGTTCGGCTGTTGGAGGTCAGCCGGCCCTCTCCACCTTGGACGGTGGGCGTATCCGGGGCAGTCGCTCCTATGGCCGCGCGGTGGGCCTAATGCTCGACGGGGATTGATCCCCGGGGCCTGCTGTCGGCGAGAGGTGGCGGCGTAGCGGTTAGGCGGTTCGCTGGCTCGCGGGATTAGAGAGTGGGCCAGAACGGTTACACGAATTCACTGCATGCACGCGCACATATCGCATGCGCGATGCCTGATCGCGGGTCCATCGCTATCACATCAAGACAAGACAAGTCAAGTGCGCGTCCAGGCACATCGTCACCATCCACGGTTCACCTACGATCGACCCATTGTCCGCTAATTCTAAGTATCTAACCCTCGACCCCCTGCCAGGGGGCCCCTGGCCCTAAGTACCACAACTTCAGAAGACCATATCTTTGCCGTTTCTTAACGGATTTGGGCGTTTAAGAGCGCGTTGAAACCAGGAAGCTCTAAATAATACTCCTAAAAGGTTGATTTAGCCAATTATATAATTTCCACAACAGAAAATACCAATTAAGCCTAAACCCCAAACAGCCACGTCACACTCACTGCCGACTCCAGGGGGGACGACCGCGCACCCCCGCTGTCCAATGACAGTTGCTGCCACCGGCCTAAGGATGCAAGCCTTGCAACCCCATAGCCCCAGGCCTTGTTGCATACTCCGAAGAAGCGTGCGCCCCAATTGCGCCAGATCCGCACGCCATCGGGCAGAGATTCGAGGTCACCCATAAGGGGTGGATCGGGCGATGGCAAATGCGTGCCGACTCCAACGAACAAAAACCACATCAAAAACTCCATAGTAACTAAATATAGGCCACCGTAAACAATCCCAAAAAGCCCCCTCTAAGGTTGTTTCCCAACAACAACATATTGTGATTATAAATCCCTTTAATTGACCAAATGTCCACTAGTCACAATATCACTCCCCCCAATATGAGAGCGGTTGTTCTTAGATACAGACCTTATAGGAAGACAACAATTCAAAAAAGAATACCCAAGGTAAGAAAAGTAGCGCCTCTAACACTAACGTGGGTTTTCATACCTGGTCACCCTTTGGTGCAGCTACCACCTGTAGGCTGGACCCGTGAGGATTCGGTGTGCCGAACGCAACTTCCCTTCTAGCTGCCAGCCACAACACCAGCTGTACCTATCTCAAGGAATTGAAACCAGCTCTATGGTAATTCCTTGGAGGCACCAACAACTACTTTTTCCGACCCCCTCTGATCTTGGGCTACCATTGCTCCTCCTCAGCGACCCGGCGCAGGTAGCCTCAATGAGTGGATAATAGACGTGGCCGCTCAGCTTTTTTTTTGTTATTTTACTTCTGTATATTTTTTAACACAAACATTCCGTCCATCAATTTTCTGTCACTTTGCCGGGGCCGGGTTTCCATAGCCGTTCATGCCACATCAGCTTTCATTTTTTTGGCTCTGAAGCTGTCCGTCAAGGGGGTGTTTGTAGCCAGCGGTTTCTGTAAAAGCGCTTTTTTCCGCCGCCTTTCTTGGCGTTCCATTACCATCCATCACGGACTTTGAGATTCCGGTAGCATTTCATTGGTCAACAGTGGTTTTTGTTGGTGGCAATTTTTGCCTAACAGATTTTTTTCTCTGTGTCCACCAACCTTTGCCTCTACATACGGGCCACAGCAATAGCCGTAACGAGGTGCAATATTAATACATGTATAAACAACGTATGTCTACCTATTTGCAGTCCATGCCATCATAAATAAATATGCATGAATAAATAAATATACCTAAATGCTACCTCGGCCGGTACTCCTTGCTAGACAGGGGACGCAACCCGTTGCTTTTTCCCGGCCAACCCACGGCCGGTACTCCTTGCAAACG